ATCGCGTCCCAAAGTTTCCGGATATTTTTTTTATTTTCCCCATTTTTTTCATTTTTAAGCAGTTTTTTATCAGATTTGTTAACAAAACTCGTGATTTTCCGGAACTAAAAAACTGGATTTTTTCCTGATTTTTGTTTTTTATTTTTTTTTACAGGGATACGAATTAAATCACCTCATACAAAGTGATCATTTAGATCTGAAATTCTTGGTCGCTCTATTTTTTCTGGGGGTGGAAGACTGTTTTCCCGTTCCAAGATTGATATTTTTAAAGTAAGTTTTAATGATAGTTTCCTTGTACCTGTTGCCATATCTTGATCTGCTCGATGACAGTAATAATAATAAGTTTTCTTATTTCGAATTACATATGCATTATCACTAGTGTGCTCCCGATTACAGAGTGAGTATTGAGATTCTGCTATATGATTTAGGAGAAATACATTTGGAAGTGTTGGTAAAGAATATAAAACTTCAAAATCTTCGATTTTATACTCCTCAAGTAATTTTTCTGTATATTCTACTTCAGATCTGATTGTCCCAGCATCAATTTTATTTTTTTCTGGTGCTTTCCTATCTTCGATTGATGTTTTTTCTTTCAGAATGTCCAAGATAGGACTATCTATAACTGGCATCTCGTTATTAGATGGGTAAAGCATAAAATCAAAGACAGAACTATTCTTTGGGAAAATTGCTTTCTTCACTCGGACATGTTCATTAGTATCTTTAATAAATTTTGGAATTCCGAGTATTCGTAAAGAGAATGAACATTTATTTGCAATATTATTGACAATATCTTTTTCTTGTAAATCTATTGGAAGCTTTTTGTGAACAAGCTCAGTAAATACTGCAACTTTAGCAATATTTTTGAGTCAGAGACCAAAAGTTGATATATGGAGAGACATTTTTTTCTTGTTACTACTACTGGCAATAATTAATATTTTGCAATTCCAATCTGAATATATTTCTAGACATACTTCTTTAAAGGCACGATAAAGTAAATTTCATATTTCTTTAGTTATAAGCTTAAGCTTGAATTTAATTTTATCAAATTTTTCTTTAGATAAATCAAAATCTATAAAGGGGTGAAGTGGATCATCACCATTAATAAATTCGTATAATAAATGTTCTTGCCATTCACTAAGTATAGTTTCTATTTCATTTTCAGTATCTGTACTGAGAAATTGTCTTGGTTTTACACTATTATCGTGAATTTTATATATATATTCAGTCACACTCTCAGTTTTGGTTTCCCGGTGGTAGAACGTCTCACTATTTTCTTCCTCTATCTCCAGCTCAAAATTCTCTGAGTTTTCTGGGCTCTTTGGTCGAGAAGATGATACTTCCACTTTTGCTGACATGTGATCGATGTTTTCTTAAAAATATTGGATACTCATAGTAAGTATCTTTTACTGCTAGTATATTGTTCCGGAAAAAAAATTCAAAATGAAAATTAATTCTAAAGAATAGTTATCAGTAGATAATAACTATTATATTAAAAATTATATAAATATGGCATTTTATCGTTGCTCCTATATTCTTAGGACTGGAAAAGTTTGCAATCGAGATTGTTATCAGCCTAAAGGATGTAAAGTTTACTGGGATTCTCCATCACACATACCTTGTAAAGAATGTGATACATCAGCAAATTTCTGATACGGTTGGAAATCGATTGCCAACCATATTCATTGGCAATCAATTACCAACACCCCCACTGATTATTATCGATTGTTGATC